GTGTATATTAAGGCATCATGGTGTGTTACGAGTACATGTAGGGTTGGGCATAGTTAGTGGAGGAGTTGACAGTCAATATCTATACATAACTTCTTACATCTTTGACCAGTTTAAACTCATAATGGTAATTTTTCACCGACGTCTTTCTTCAGTATGTATCAGTCAATAGCAGCATCAAACATAACACGGTGGCTCAGATCGGGCTCGCGAACTTCTTCGAGAATTTTGTTCAGGGCCTTTTGTTTGTAAGTTTGAATACTTTCGTTGTAGCCCTTTTTGGAAGCCCCGTACTTTTAGACTTTTGGCCAGTTGTTTGTGCTTTGTTAGGTGCTTTTTTCAGCATTTTCCAAATAACTGTAGATTAAAACGTTGTTCATCTCTCCTAACCTGTCCACCGTTTCATTATGTTGTGCTTTAGCGAGTTTTTGTTACTACAATTAATTTCAATTTTCTGCGCACAATTTCAAGTAATATTTCAAAAACGAGTGCGAGTGTTTCATCGGGGTTTCCAAACACGAGAAAACTGATGAAAGCATGAGGCCGTAGGCCGAGTGCTTTTATTGTTTTCGTGTGTTTGAAAACCCCGATGAAACACGAAGCCCGAGTTTTTGAAATTGCTTCTCAATCGTACATCATTAGCCCAGAACAATGAAAAAATTCTGACTGATTTTGGCATCAGTGGGGTTTGACATTTTATCAAGCTCTAGGGTTTCATATTTCATCAAAGTATGGTGGAAAAGCCTCTGTCCAGTGTTTCATCTGGGTTTCTAAAAGCACACATGTGGCCAAATTGGCGTATCGTGATTGGTTTGTACCTTGATGAATTATTGATGAGTTTGAGAACTTTATATTCTGTTTGGGATTAACTGACATGTCCTCAGTCAATAAATATGCTGAAAATTTCGCATGCACATTGTCAGGTATCAATAGGTGGTTTGCAATCAATCCCTTGAGACACAGGTAACAATGGTGAAAGGAACAAATGCTGGTGGACGAACAAACGGAGCTAATGATGTAACTATTGTTTACGTCCACCAACATGGCGGAAATGACGTAACGTGCAAACCCCCTATTGAAATGGTATCTATGAGGATGAGATATCATTTTCTTTCTCCCAAAAAAAAGCATCTACATTGTCAGAAGAAATGGAAGGGAAGGAGCCATTCTCAGAATTATCTAACATTTTCAAGACCGAGACAGCGCCCATGATTCTTCTGCGTGATCTGATAAAGGGAATTTCTGGCAAGCACACGGGTATATCACGTTTAAACACACACATATCACACTTAAACACGCATCAATGTAGGCGGGGCACGTAATGTCTCCGATGGCCACAATGATACCAGTTTTGACGCCTTCAAGTTTAGTAAAAGGTTTAGTCATTAGTTCAGTCTAAAGTTCGATCAACATACTTGCGATCTCAAACCAAATTTGTTGGTTATTTTGAAATAGTCCGTAATTCACCTTGAAATTGACTCACCTGCATGGATGAATGCAAAAAATACAACAATGCTGATGGCGAGATACTTCATGGTCGTAATTCAGGTGAAGGTTGTTGTAAAGTAGGAGAAGGTCTTGAGGCTTAATCAAACAGCTTTCCACGGCGGGAACAGAACAACTTCAGAGCTAGGGAAGCTGTTCTTTTTAACAGCAGTGTATTAGATAAGCGAGCGAATCCGCATCCAGATGAACCTATCAATCACTTTTTCGTCCTTTCAGTCAATTTTGAACCGCAAATTTACGCAAGGAATGTTCCTTGTCACGTACAGGCTACAAACTTTTAATTTAGTAAAAACTGAGCGATTTGCAATGCTACGTGTATGGACCTATTTATTTGTTTATATTTATAATTTCCCTTTCACCCTCCTCACCCGTGATTGTTCCTTTTCTGCAAGAAGCTCAGGCTTCTGCTGCAAAAATATAGCACATTTTAAAAAATCATGAATATAAAAGATGCCTAACGAATATTTACCTTTAAGACCCTCTATTAGTTTATTTGGTTGATATTCTAAAGACAGTGGTAATGCATATATCTTATTAACCAAGCGCGAGGGCCGCACTGGGAGAATATCGGCCCGAGGTCTTGACAGTACGGACCGAGCGCAGCGAGGTCCGTACAAAAAAGACCGAGGGTCGATATTCTTCCAGTACGGTCCCGAGCAAGCTTGGTTAATAAGAGATTTATTATACGACTGAAGTTCAAAGGGACACAAGTGGAGTATCATTCGGGACCATTCGGGACAGTGCCCGGTCCAATACTGAGAGAATATTGACCGGCAATAGAGCATTTTGATTGGTTGATTTTAGTTATTGGCCCTCTGACTGCCCGAGTCGTGTAATAAAAAACAGTCATGACTGGAAGCGATATTGACGTAGGTATGTGTTTAAAATTGATGAACTCACGCACGCTAAGCTTATAATTTTATTGGATATCAGCCAGAGGAGGTAACTGCTGCTTCCTGCTAATTAAAGGAGTTGCGGTCAATATTTTTGCCAATCAACCGTGAGATTTTTTAATCTGGTCCAAAAATCTTTTGTTAATATTGATATGACAATCAGTACGTGATGGAACTGACGATGAGTCCAACGGTTTTGTTTTGTTTTGTTATTTTTTTTTCAAGAGAGGAAATAAACGCTCTCCGATACTTTTTTCGATCACTATATGATCGAGTCAGTACCATGCAAAGATCATTATCTCGTCACAAACTTCCAATATGTAACATTTGGACATAGAAAAGGCATAAAGCCGTTGCCGAATGCTTAACAAAATAAGAAAGAGTCCAAAAACAGAAGAAACCGTGTTTCGCAGAAAAGCACCAACTATAATCTTTATTTTAGTCAAGATTCGTGTCCAACTCCCCTTATAATTATCCTGGACCGGTGGTTGTTTTCAATAATATCTAGTGTAAGGGATGACTTCAGTGCACCTTAAAGAAGTAAAACGGACTAAAAGAAAAAAAACCTGCATTGACATAAGCGTCCAAACTGACTCACTGCAATCGCTTTTCTACGCAAATTACACGCCAAGGGCATTCTTAGATTGTTACAAAGAAAGATACGTAAAGAAGTTTATTGAAGCTTAATAAGAAGAAAGCTCAATAGGAAATTACAAATTAATCTAGTTAATTTAATTAATCTAATTATTATTGATCTAATTTACTCTTTCATGTTGATCTAATTTACATGTTCATTCTAACCATTGTTTCGTTAATACGGTCAAAAAGACCCACAACTTTACGTTTTTCCTGTTATCCAAATGAGAGAAACGTGAGAGAAAAAGGACCTGCCCAGGGGAACACACTGGGCGAGAGCGAGCAAAGAAGCGACGAGCAGAGGGTAGGAGTCGGAAGGAAAAGGGAGGAAAGGTAAACCTTGCAGCTAAGCCGACTCTGTAAAAATCAGTTATTAATCGAAAGAGAGCGATTCTTTTCAATAGAACGTTTTTTACAATAGATGATGTCCAAAGATTCTAATGTTATATCCGACTGGAACAGCGACGATCGCAATGGACCAATCACAGCTGCTAAAAGTAATCATGCAATCAGAGCGAGGCATCGTGCTTTACAAGGTGACGCGTGATCATCCGACCACATCGGCTGATGAAGACCGGCTAACCGCTGGCTAGCAGAAAGCAGAATGCAGTTGAAACATCGTAATTCTCATCACAAGTGACTTTATTGTGAGAAAAGATGCATTCAACGATCAAGGTAACCTAAATTCCCACCAGATTCAGTTGTCACTAAATTTATTTCAAGTAGTTCACCCTGTCCTCGCGAGCTCCTAAACCCTAAACCTCTGTCTTCGCGAGCTCCTAAACCCTAAACCTCTGTCTTCGCGAGCTCCCTAAACCCTGTATTGTTATGCTTCATTATAAACGAAGTGCAGCAATTGTTCTGTAAACGGCTTATGAGATGTCGAAATTATTTGCTTGCAGGTCACTGAAAGGGATTGAAGCAGAACTGAACAAGATGCTCTGTCCTTTCAAAAGATCTTGTGATCTTCGTGAGGAAAAATACGACTTTTCTGTTACTGTTGGGTAAAAAAATGTGACGTAATGTTCGGAGATCGGTTATCTTGATATTAGTTCTGCCATAAAGGCGATTATGGCTTTTAGGAGAAAAGGAAAGCAGTTTGCGGTCTAGGATAAACAAGATAACGCCGTTTGTGCAATGTTTGAACCTTTATATCAGAACAGAGTGTTGGCATATCTTCCTTTTAGCATCCTTTTAAATGAGAGTTGTTCCGATTCCAAAAACAATCAAGGTTTGCAAGAGTGTTCATTTGTCCTTCTGCTTAACAGAGTCACTATGGCCACGTCAAAGACTCATTTGTTCTGGGAAAACCAATTACCGCTATTAACATTTCTTTCTTTTTTTTATTTATTTTTTTTTAATAAATTAAACTGAAATAGGTAACACAGCAGTGGAATAAAGCAGAACATAGAGAGCCTAAGATTCAACTAAAACAAAATACATTTTGAAGATCCTCCCTTTACCTTTAACCATAAGTCACAAGGCGGCGTCGCTCAGTCGTTCTGTTTCTCCCAACAGGAGTATTTGGCTACAATAGTCCAAAGAGAATACTTATGTCTCAATAGACGTTTTGTTGTGTAGTATCGCTGATTACTTTCACGAGTTGTGCCTCATTTGACGGGTCCGTATGGCGAGTCAAAATTTAACACGCCAAATCGTTATTTCAGTGCGTGTGAATTTCGCGGATATTTCTGGAGTACAAATATCGCGTGATATTCCTACTCGTTTCGCGCGTTATTTGTACTCTGCGACGCACAGTTGAATAATTAAACAACATTATGTTATAGTAACGAAGGAAGGGGCAATAAGTAGCTTTATTTTTTACACCACTTCCCTTTGTTTTTTCCCATTACTAAATAATGAGAGATAGAGGCATAAAAATGGAGTGTGTTGGCCAAACGATTTCAGAGCGAAGGAACACAGAGAAAGTTCTCAAACTAAGACTAAAAAATACTCTCAAGGACCATATGCTTTAGTAGTTCTGTTAGACTTGATTCAAGCATTACAGAATATACTTATTCTGACGGGTATTTTAAGCTCCGTAAATTCTTCTTCACCACGCCAACTTGGGGCAGATACGGACTATTGAGAGCAGACGTAATTTCAAACGACCAAAGTTACCAACTACACTTTTACAAATCAAAGTTCGAATAGGTCATTACGGTGCACACCGTCTAGTTTAAGCAAACTTTGACGAAGCTAGCACAAAAAGTGACAAGAAGATACTTTAAAAGCGCCGATAACAATGTTTTAGACTTAAACACGAAACTTAAAAGTTCAGAAACTGAATGTCCAACCATTATGGCTTTCTCGGCTAAATGGAAGTCCTCGTGTGGCCATTTTGAAACGAAATGCTCAAAAACCATGCTCCAGGTCGCAATTTATTTGATTTCAAATGTCTTCTCAATTTCTAGACGTTGTTCGCACATGGTTCGCCTGCTAGAGACATCTCTTCTAAAGTAACGTCTGAGGTTGGCATCCGTAACCAACGAGGAAAACACATAGCAGTTAACATTGCGTTACGTCATGCAGAACAAGTGACGTCACGACTGTCATTGCGTTATGTCACGTCTGTGTCACGGAACTGTTTTTCTTGTTCGATGGTGGCTTAAGATAGGGATCCTCTGATAGCGTCAGAACATCCGCTCGTTCTTCTTTCCGATACACCAGGCAACGACGAATGAAATTCTGTGCAAAGAATGTTACAAATGTAACGGTTAGCACCTTAAGAGACATGGTAACTGAATAAACGACGAAGCTTGTTCGAAGCAATTAACACAACTTCCCCTAGACACACACAGAAAGAGAGCTCACAACTGGTGCCGGCCGGGCAAGAGAACGAATGTGCGTTTAATAAACACGCAGACTGTCAGAGAGTTTTGATGGAATTTTACATGGCAGCTTTCTCTTGCCCTGTATAGGCTTATTTCGATTGAGTTTAAACGAGCTAAAACCAAACCAATTTCCCGTTGAAATGAGGCGAAGGAAAGTTAATGCAAGCGAATCGTTTTAGATCACACTTTGTGAATCATGAAAAATGAATACAACTGGTTTCTGTATTTGTGTTCTTTGAGCTTAGTGGAGCTAATATGACTTGGAATTTAAACTTGGTTTGAATGTAAATAGAAAACCAACGGTGGTGATTTTGTAAACTGTATCTTGAATGCATACTTATAATCGTTCCCATATTTCTTGCATCGTTCGACTAAGGGGCTGACCATTTAACTCTTGAGGGGGGGGGGTGGGTCACTTTGAAAAAAAAATTCCTGCAAGCGCATGTTGGAAGAAAAAAATTGCATGCAGCCCACATGTAACAGAACAAAAGAGCATTTAGAACGGAAAAAATATCCTGCCCAGTAGATTGCTAGAAAAAAAAAATTCTTGATGACCACCCCCCCCCCTCAAAAGTTAAATGGTCGGCCCCCAAAGCATTTCTAACGCGCGCACTGACTGACCCACAAAGATCTTGGAAAATTTAGTCTTAGTTACTGTGGATCCATACCTTGGCCTCAGAACTGACAGCAGGTTTAGCAGGAAAGTCAACCTCTTTCGCCTTTAAGATTGTGTTGTTTTCCAGAATTGCTGCTTGAGTTTGATTGTGACCAAATGGCTATGGAAAAAAATTGTCATAAATAATCATTAGATTAGGATCTAAATGTGAAAAAAAGGAAGATAAATTAATGAAAAAAGACTCAATCACAATAAAAAGAAGTAAAATGGCCTTATGAAGAGAGCGCCTTTCATTCAATAAGATTTTAATGTAAGGCGGCCTCGCTCGGTCGTTCTGCTTCTCCCAACAGGATTATTTGGCCGTAATAGTCCAAAGAGAATACAGCAACATTATGTTGTAGTAACGAAGGAAGGGGGACGAAGTAGCTTTATTTTTCACACCACTTTCCTTTGTTTTTCCCATTACTAAATAACCAGTGTGAATGATTTCACAGGGAAGGAACATAGAGAAAGTACTTAAATTAAGACTTAAAAAACCCTCAAGGACCATATGCTTTTAATTAGTAGTTCTGTTGGATTTGACTAAAGCAGTAGAGAATATACTTATTCTGGCAGGTATAAAATGGCTTGTGAAAAGAGCGCATTTCAATCAATAAGATTTGAATGTAAGATCATGTTATCAGCTGTAACAGTTCGAAAACAACAAGGCACTGACCCACCTTTCTTCCATAAAGCATTTGAAAAAATATCACACCCACTGACCAAACGTCCACCTGAGAAAAAAAACAAAACAAAACAAAACAAAATGTAATAGGCTCACATATCTCATGTAATATTAGTCCTAAACATAGCTGTTGATCGAACTTGTTGAATGAACCGCAGGAAAAACGCGGAATTCGAGCTCTGAGGTTCGATTCCTCATGGGGACTCGGAATCCGAAGGTCAGCGGTTCGATTTCTCATGGGGACTCGGAATCCGAGCTCTGAGGTTCGATTCCTCATGGGGACTCGGAATCCGAAGGTCAGCGGTTCGATTTCTCATGGGGACTCGGAATCCGAGCTCTGAGGTTCGATTCCTCATGGGGACTCATGCTCAGAATTTTCTCTTTCTCCAAAGCTGGTGACTAGGCCAAAAACATTTCTAAAACGCAGAATTTGGAACGAAGCACACCAAAAAAGCCTTCCATCTCGCTTGCACCACCATTCTGACACTCACCTTTAATTCATTGACTTGCTGTTTTTGCAAAATAAAGTTTGGTCCCTTTTTTTTTTCACTCATTTTCTTAAATAGAACCAACCACATTCAATAAAGTTTCCCCCAAAACCAAATTTGGACAATTACAAATACCCGGCAGTCTGTTCTCGGGCAAGTTTCGACTGATGTATCTTGTTACCTTGGAGGAGATTTTTGGCGGCTCTTTTCCAACAACAAAGCACTCAGGGGGGAGGTACCAGTAGGTACCGGCCCCCTGAGAGGTCAGATCCATACTGTCGTCACTGTTGTCCATTACTTTACTGAGACCAAAATCTGTGATCTTCACCTCCCCACTGAGGGCTCCGGTACCCCCACCCAGAAGAATGTTACCTGATGAAAACAAAAAACAAAAAAACGAAAAGACAATGAGTAAACTGGTGAATTCTTGAGAACCTGCTCTTAGGTATGCACGATCAAGTAGTCACCAAACTTTGTAGCTGATTAATTACTCTTCACCGAAGCGGAGACGACTAGTCGGTGGTGGATATTTAGTGAGATAATAAAGCTCAAAAAAGATGATTTTAACTCATTTGTTCCCGCAACAATTACAACAATTTTGGGTGCAAATCCCGCTCGAGCTGTTCGGAAGTGAATCGCAAAGGATATTCAGAGTTTGAGTAGCCAATCAGAGCGCGCCTTCAACGCTATCCACTGTTTCAGTATAAACGAATTATAGCCACTCAGAGGTAAATGCACGAAAGCTGCATTTTCGGCCGCCTTCTCGGCTGCTACTACAATGCACTGAGGTCAACACGAAAATTTCTTACCAGGTTTCAAATCATAGTGAATGACTGGTGGTTTGATCTCGTTCAAATACTTGAGAGCACTTACTGTCTGAAATCAACAAACTAAAACATAAGTCATCAAAATGTTTTTTTGATTGTTACTACTCTTGGTAGATTTTTAGCACCAAATTTAATCTTTATCGAATCACTTGAGCCAATCTGCATGTTCGACAACATGCAAGTAAAATGATCGACGTTGCAATAATACAGCAATACAACAACACCAGTATCTAAAAACAAATCCCTAGACACATCTGATGTATCACGTTAAGTTTACTCTTCCACGGAAAGAAACAAAAACAAATCATAAAATACAACATACTTGCGTGACAATAGACTTCGCCTGTGTGAAAAAACAAAAAGCATCAATAGCTGCTACTGCGAACCCCATTAATACGGTCACCTACGGGCCAAAACAAACCGGCCATGCTAACGTGGTGGCCGTATTGCCGGGGTAGGGTCAAATTGGGCCATAATAAAAAATATCGCATTCACACAACTGTTCTCTTTAATAAACAACCGGAATGTATTATTTTAAACACTTGAAACTATCTGCAGCAATAGTGCGAACCTTTCCAGCGTGTAGGTAAGAAAACTCAGTACACTTGGTTTCATCACCAAAAGACATGGTACTACCTTACCTCCCTCTCAGGCACTGTTTTATGTTGTTTTAAGAGGAAATCCAAATCATTTCCATCGCAGTATTCCAGAACGGTACAGAAACTATGAGTAACAACAAAGGGAGTTGGCTTGACTATACAAATGAAGTGATGTTTTCATTTGCGTGCTGTATATTTATCGAGGTGATTTTATTCGAATGTTTAAAAAATACTTTTTTTTGTTTCATTTATACAAATTTACCGCACTAAAAACTTACGAGTGTTGCCCAATCTCAAAAACGTCATAGAGGCGAACAATTCTCTGAAAGAAAAGAAAAAACTATGTGAACACCTTCTCTTGATGCAAAGTTGAAGATATTTGTAGCCTGCCCTGTGAAAATCGAGTACGGAAAGAAACATTACAGTCAAAGGAGATATGTTATTTCATTTCTTTTTCTGTAGCATCTCAGCAGGCCGGAATCTAAAATGCTCGAATTTGACCGACTAATCGCGCGCCTGTAGCCGGTCCAGTTATTAATGATAACTAAGGCGGCACTCAAGACCTCGGGCTGAATTTGTTCACATAAAGACCTCTCACCCAGTAAATAGTAAATAATTAATATGTATGTGCAACTTGAACAAGAGAGCTTGAATCTTACAAGTTCGCCATTTTACAATCCGTGGAAACCTTCTTCGTCCGTAATCATTCTTTTTGCTTCTTGATTTATTCCTACCTTTTGTGTGTTAAGACTAATTTTTTGTTTGTTTGTTTGTTTTTTAATCGTTTCTGGGATTTTCCGAGGTTAAAAAATCTTTAAAACCGACGTTTCGACCAGTTTTACTGGTCTTCCTCAGGTTGTTTAAATGTTACCAATATGGCGGATTGTATGTGCGGTCACCAAGCTGAAATACTAAACAATCCGCCATATTGACAACATTTAAACAACCTGAAGAAAGACCAGTCAAACTTGTCGAAACGTCGGTTTTAAAGATATTTTAACCTCAGAAAATCCCATTAAAAAATCTTTAAAACCCACGTTTCGACCAGTTTTACTGGTCTTCCTCAGGTTGTTTAAATGTTGTGAGTACGACTAAACAATCCGCCATATTTTAGTTTTTACAAAGACGAGAGGTGAAAGTTTCAGGAATACGACTTTTTTGTGTTTTTCTGTATTAACTGACTATCTAATATCTTGAAGTCTCCTTCAAGCTGCAGGCTGTTTTGCACTGCGCAAAATACAATGATTTAAGCTAGCAATCTACAATCCATTTCCATTCTTAACCAACCTTTCTCCTTCTGGGTTAATATTTGTCTCTCTTGTGGTTTTTCTATCTTACCGAGCTGCTATTTTTTTAATCTCATTTCAAATTAAAAGTGATTTTGCACGAGACAGAAAATGACCTCAGTTGTCGAGAGAAAGCTCCTTCAAAATAGATTACACGGCACAGGAAAACCAGGAATCAATAGTACTCACAGGGTGGTCAAGAGATTTATGAATATTGTATTCACGTAGAGCATGCCTGTGGAAATCATCGAAAAAGAACAGGTAATTAGCGGAATTACTGCGCAATATTCCCAAGAACGGTTGTGAGAAAGACCTTACTTCAAAACTGAAATAACCATAATGGGGGCGGTTGATTTTGAAGGAGTTGATCATGCTTCGAGTGTAAGGTTCATGAAAGTGCATCTTTTGAATGCGTCACGTAGGAAACTTAACATATAAAACGAAAGAAACGAGAACAAACGTAAATGTTCATAGTTATTTTCACGTTGACTTCTAGGAAAAGTTTACTGAACGTTCTTCCTGGCAATTTACAAAGCAACTGGGCGTTGTCGCTGCACCGTGTTCTTGCGCTCGACTCTTTACTCTCACAATGTCTCTCTAGCCAGGAGTATTTATGAGGAACGGCGAACTGCCAGCAAAAAAAGGTGGGTAGTCTGCTATAAATCTTGCACGAGATATACATCACACCCAGGAGTAGTGAAATACTACTTTGCTAGTCACTTCATGTAACAGGAACAAGGATTAATTCAGGGAGGATGGGCCAACGATTGGGTCAACGGGCTTGCGAGCCTTCACACTTACTTGATATAATTTGTTTTCCTTTCTTCCTTCCAGTCATTACATAACTGATGTATTTTGCACGCAACAAACCGATGTTCTTTGAGATCATATCCCTAGAACAGTCAAACAACATTCCAACTGATTCAAAATATCTTAGGACAGCTATGCTACGGATAGATGGCAATGTACCTGATAACTTATTTCACGTCAACAATGTCAGTGTCTTTATCAAATAACTTACCCCTTTACACCCTAACATCAGTATGCATATTCTCCATACTTTTCTCTACACATTTCCTAAGGTGCTGACCAGGAGAATTTGTTTAACAATCAAGAGCCTCTTTAATCGGTGATAATTTCCATCATTAATTGGTAACTTTATTGAGTAATTCAGGGGTGATATTGTAAGGAGAAATTAGATCCTGGTCACTCTTATGCTGATCATTTCCCTATTCTCCTGACTTTAATGTGTAATTCAGGGGTGATATTGTAAGGAGAAATTAGATGTTAGTCACTCTTAGAGGTCAAAAGGTTAATATCCGTTGGTGTGGTTTTGTTTAAAGTATCAAAATATTACAATAATTTACCTTAAAAACTTCACTGAATCCTCCTTTACCTAATAAATTTAGTAACAAGTATCTTCCGTTTAAGGTCGGGTGATTTTTAAACCTGCAAAGGATAAAAATTTAAAGGTAATACAGGTTATTGATCCCATCTCGAGACTTTTATATGTTTTTTCCTTTTCACCTCAACATCAACTACAAGCGTTCTCCGAGTTTAATTAGCGCTAAAACCCATAAAGAGGATAAAACTTATCCACGTAGGCGGAAACTCAACAGATACACCAGGCTTGAGTATTTAAAAATACGTCTTCTAAATCCAGTCATAATGCAGTAAAGGGGATACCAAGGATACTGGGAATCCACACCTAATCACACTTAAGTTTCCTATGTTCCATGAATTATAACCCGCCGCTCCGCTGATCGTTTTGGCGGCTCCGCGGTCTTTTCTTCATTGAGTTTCTATAGAGCCATTGAGTACGCAGGCTAAAGGAATTACTGAATAAGTCTACCGCGCCAATTTCAAAAGAGTGTTGAAAGTAATCCAAGACTGTATTGGTCTTGCTTTACTTCGCTCCGTAATTGGTCAGGAAACCCGCGCCACTTTCTCAATCAATCAGATGCAAAACACTAATCACGACTTCGAGTCACCTGCGTTTTCCCGCGCTTTGGGAAATTTGCTTGGTTTTCACTGAGTTCTCATTGGTTCCTGAGCGTATTTTCCTTTCCTCTGATTGGCTGTTGCGATAACTTTGAGTTTGGCTTAACGACACTCCATCAGAAAGCTTTCTTATAATATCATCGATTTAAACGATTGTGATATGTCAGTGGTTATCAGGACTCGACACTAACTTTTCAACTTACTAGCTCAGTGGCTAGAGACAACTTAGATGTTACGACAATTTCATTTCGTTTACTAGCCCAACTGGCTAGTGGAAATCGAAAACCACAAGCCAAAACTGAATTTCTACTAGTCTGTGGCTAGCTAGCTACCGTTAGTGTCGAGCACTGCCTGTTTATTCAAATGTCCGACTCACTTTGAGTTATCCTCATTATGTATTCTTTTGGATTCTCGTATGTGAAGGTTTCTTTCTCTGTCTAATTTTTCTAATTCCATTTGAAGATCCGTCTCCTCCTGGAAAGATAAAACGCAAAAAGACACATCTCAACATCAAATGCTGTCTTACCCTTGCAACTCTCAATATCTGATTTGAATTCTCCCCTCATATGCTGCTATTTTCTTGTACTCTAGTTACGAGAATTTTGTGTTAGATCAACACAACGACTTCTACTGAGTACGTTTGAGTATTCTCATTACCTGTTTGCTGTATAATGTATGGATATCATAGGGAGAAGGTACATGTTAATCACTTCTGGGAGTCAAAGGGATGGTGTCGATTAAAAGATGATATTACTGGATAACACTTGAATATTTGCAAAAGTTTTGTTCTCGTGGGCCACAAAAAAAACCAAAGTGTAAACACTGTTCGATATATACATGCTCCTTGTCTGTAAAGACAATATCACTTGACAGCTGTATTCATACGTGCATTCAATCTAACATGGTGTCTGGGCTCACGAAACACAAGCAGTTCCAAAAACAATTCAAGCCATGCTCCTGCTCCAACTTATGAAAAGAACTTCCGCCTTGTGTGTCTGAACCTTGAGTCCAACTTGTTATAGTATTCTTTAAGGTGATTCGATCCTCGGTATTGCACTGCACATCCTGTTCTGTGCATAGGCATATTAAGGGCAAGATTGACCCATCATATCTCTCTACGAAGCGCGGTAGCCTATCTTTTTTATCATAACATAACCAAAGTAAAGCGCGCACTCTGATTGGTCAATTTAGCGTCCCCCATTTTCCCATGGGTGTACGCTGCTGACGTGAGCAAATGCAAAGACTATTTTTCCGCGCGCGCTTGTTTTTTCTGGTCACGTAAGATTTGTTAAATAGAAGGGAACTCTTTAGCTACAATGTATCAATGTTATGTTATAAAACAAATGGTAAACACCACAGCGTACACTATTGAGTTATGGATGCACTTGGGAGGTTTGCTAAGCACTCAAGAAGCTAGAGTCGCTCTCGGCTATCGCCTCGAGCGACTCTTACGCTTCTTTCGTGCTTAGCAACCTCCCAAGTGCATCCATAACTCAATAGTGTACGCTGTGGTGTTTACCGTAGGGAACATTTAAGGAAAGTTGCAAAAAATTAATTCCCACAATTTTTTTTCTGAGGAATCACCTTAAGTTCAGAGTGTCGAACGTGTGTTACTACATACTACATGATTCAGACGTCCTTCTCAAGACTGATTTTACACACACAATATCATTGCATCTGATTGTTAATTCTGCCCTCTAAATGTTAAACTTTTCCTTATGAATTATTTACAAGAATGTGTCACCTTTTTCAGCCCTATTGCCCTGAGTTTTAAAATTTCCTCTCTCTCATGGTATTCCATTGGAGAAAGTCTGTTGAATTACAAGATATACAAAACAAAATTATTCAACTCATTAAGAAACCTTCAGTAATAATTATATGGTACAGCAGATGCATGTTTGAATTAACAGGGTATTCAAGATCCTTAAAAACTTGACACCTGCTTCTGGAAAATCAAACCTTGAACCTTAAAAAAATGTATTGAGAAAAATTCCCCCATATAATCCACAATGCACTTACACAGGTGATGTTGGTCTTGCAAATTGATCACTATCCGAGCTGGCTGCCTTAGATGGTCTTTTTTCTTTCACATCTTTAAAATAAAACAATTTAATCGATGGCCACGGTTCTACAGTATTTCACAAAATTAATGCGCTCTGTCCATATTTGACCCATTAGTTTGGGGTTCTCTCCAGATCTAACTACAGGGAAAGGATGTTGCAAAAAAAAAGTAAATACATAAAAAATAAAGTAATATAGAGTTACTGAAGAAATAAAATTTGCCTTGCTCCCAATGTGTGGTTTCTTAGCTCAACTGGTAGGTCTGTATATGAGCCAAGTTATGAACTCCAGTTTCTGTAGCATGAAGCAACTAGGAGTATTCCTACTCCCCCCTGGATGGGATGCTACTCCATCCCAGGGTTACCCCCCCAGCATTAAATTCACCAGTACCCATTTAAACACCTAGGTGAAGAGGGGCACTGTGAGAGTAAAGCGTCTTGCCTAAAACCACAATACAATGTCCTCAGCTAGGGCTCAAACCTGGACCACTTGATCCCAAGTCAAGTGCACTAACCATGAGGTCACTAGCCCTCCCCCAACCCAGTTGGTAGTAGCACTCAATCAGTATCTTGGAGGCACAGGTTCAAATCTGGTTGAAACCTGAATTTTTTTTTCTGGCTTCTTTTGCTTGATATTGCACCTTGTCTGTGAGGATCACTGCTTTACTTGATTTTCATTTGCTGGTTAAATGAAATTTATTTCATTAAAAATTATGATTAGAAACAGACTTGGTTCATCTCTCAAAAAACAAGACCAGAAAAGATGGGAGTTCCTGACAATACACTGTATCTTGCCGTTCTATCAGTTTCAAGTTACCATTAAATAACATCGAAGCCTTTGCCGTATGTTTGAAAACATTGCCCCCAAAAATACAACTTTGAATTCAAAACACTTCTAAACTAAATATCCATTTAGTAAATACATATCTACTTGGTTTGTGAACCCACTTGTGGTATTTGACACAGGTTTTCTCTTTGCCAAAGCTTTCTTCTGTTTTTCTAGTTCCTCTCTCTGTTGATTGATCCTCTCCTGCTGACTAAAAAAATTATAAAAAAATTAGGATAAGATGATATAAATCATTGAAAACTGGATCATTGGATAATGCAATTCAAGACTTTTTATTGGCTTAGCCATTATGGTATATGAGCAAATATACCATAATCTACAAATATGGTAAGCATACATGTCAGCTTAAAATTAAAAGGGAGCTAAAAAATAACAATTTAATTTAACGTTTTTAATAAAACAATTATTCCACTCGTGCTTGTTGGATACGAGATGATTATAGCCAAGTCGGCGCTACGCTCCTCGTTGGCTATCTATCATCTCATATCCAACATGCGCTCGTGGAATAATTGTTAAATAGTAATAATTATAATAGTAATAGTATATCTAATTATATAGGAAAATTCATTACTTGACTAGGGAATTCTGCAGTAAATTTCCCAAAAAAAGCAATATCACACAAATTGTGAAGTGATGAGTGCAATATCGGTTTTCAAGTGCAATTTAAGGCAGAATTCCCAAGTTAAGTTCTGGATTTTCCTTGAATTGCATAACTTAATAAAAACACACAAAAAAGAAAACAGCATTTCTCATAGTTGTTAAGTATACGTAGATGCGAAACAATATCATGCAATCCCACACTGAATACTTTGCTTTGTTAACCAATCAAAATGCGAGATTTTTATCCAATGATATGATTCTAATAATAATAATTGTTCTGGACTTTGCAAATGTTAGTATAATCAACTGGTTTATGGTTGCAACTTCAAAAAAAAAAAAAGACAAACTAAGTGAAATCTGAAACTGTAATCAGGAACTTTTCAATATTTGCGAGTTTTCTGTTGTGAATGATTTGTTGCTGATTCCAAAATCAGTGATGTCATAAATAATTGGCTCATGTTTCCAATTGTGCATCAATTGATTTTTGAAACTCTCAACCAGTTTGAAAAGCTTTTAATTAGAGGCTATTTAAGTACTGCTCAAGTTGCTAGAATTAGAGAAAATAAAACAAGATTTTCAAGTATTTTTTTTAGATTTAGATGCCAAGGAGTATATTTGTACTTCTTATTGTAATATGTATATATCTTTCGTGTTAATATAATTATGTCAAGTTAGAAAAATACAATGACTATGCTTTCATCCCTACACATATGCATCTGTCCTTCAGTGGATCATACGTAGAAAACAATCAAAATGCATGTAAAATTCAGGTCATCATAAATTATAAATTATAGCTATTTATTAAGCAATTATCTAATGGACCAGTTGGAGTGGCATAAAACAAAGTTAGTTCATTACGCTGTCAATTCTTTAAAAGCATGTCCATCCACCCAGTTCTCCACAAATGACACTCCTTGCCTGGATATTCAACAGCAAATGAAGGGATATAAGTAATTCTGACTAATCACATAAGCAAATATTACTGCAGTCTTCAGTTGAATTCCAGAACTAAAACAACAGTACTTAAGATTTAAACTTATTTACATGTATACAGCAACAAAAATTTGAGACTTGAAATATAAATGGACAAGCATTTCTGCTAAGTGTAATAATGTTGCAAATAATTTCTAACTTTGCAATTTTCTACTGAGATCGCGAAAAATATTGAAAAGTTCAAGTAGTCCCATATACATCTCTTTTCATACAATACAAACCATATCTTTAATTGGCCAAGCATCAATAAAACTGCCAGTGAGTGGTTTAAGTGCTCGGTTGTTGTTACCGTGAGTGCCGAGCCCAGGTTAGACTTGTACTTACAATGTGATACATTAATATTTGTTTGTATTGTGCATTTTGATTCTTCTAACAATTTTATAAGCAATTTCTAGGTCTATGTAATTCATCTACATGGTGAAAATATTCAGAAGCAGCTTGTAGTTGTAAAAAAAAAATTGGTAATTCATATAAAAATGAAGAATATAGCACAAAATAGGTTTGTCACAGTTACCTCACAGGAGCAAAATAACCAAGTTGCAATCTGTTCTTCATGCACACTTCTCGGCCAGCTTTCTTTTCAAGGGTGGACTATTCAGCCCAAAAAGAAAACGAAAAAAAAAAAACTTGACTCATAAACAAATATTCTTTCATGTGGTATTTCCTAACACACACATAAATCATAACTACATTAACTAACAAAAAATACATTTCTAGCCCTAATTAATTGTCAACAAAATGTTATCTTACTTAGAATTGGTCATTACCAATAAAAATTGCTATCAATTATATTAATGAGAACAAAGAGAAGAGCCCCAACTTTAAGATAATGATGATTGAATTAAAAAAAAAACAAAAACAGAACAAATTATATTAATTAACTTACTGCTGTAATTAAAAGCTTCTTGTTAATTTCCATACATTTCTCAAGACTTTCTTTGACCTTCTCAACAGTTTTCTGGAATTTTGGTTTACAAGAAAAACATAAAGACATACATTGTGTATTTTCAGAGCTGAGCAAAGAGTTTCCAGCAATCTGATTGGTTGAGCGATTCCTTATATAACGCTATATAAACCGCTTCACACGGTTTATATAAAGTGTTAATAAATGTTACTAAAATGTTATGATTTTAGAAATTTCTCTGTTGTTCAGCTCTGAAATGATACTAAAACAATTATTTGCCTCAGGTTTGGTGAATACTGTCGAATAATCCCCTTGGCTTCGTCTCGGGCATTATTCGACAATATTCACCTCACCTTCGGCGAATTGTTAAATATGTTACCTATTTTAAATTAATTATTATAAAAAATCCCTCTATCTCTATTTCTGCTTTCTCCATTTTGCTTCAAATGTCCCCTTAATCTATCAACTGAGCATAAACAATTTTCATTTTGTTTTAAAATTGTATGAGAACGCTAATTAAGGTACAGGAACAAGGAGGTTGGGCCTCAATTGCATCAAGCAGTAAAAAGGTTAATAGTTCAATGAGAAGCATGAATTTACATCCAAAACTTCCACTGCTTTAATTCATCTCATTTTCTGTTTCCTAGCAGCTGCAAAGACTTTAGGCTTGATTACCAGCCGCCCTTGGGGAACCAGAGCGCACACCCCCCCACACCCACTCTTGGGAGGAATGAAAGAGACCAGACTAAAGCTAGAGAGCAGCGGAAATCAAGCCTACAAAGACTTGGGTCATTTTTTTCTCTGTCAATCAATTCATGTAGTTGTTGAACAATTAATCATAGAAAGTGAAAATTAGTTAGATTTACCTGTTGAGCATCAACTTGGCTTTTGTATTCATCAACCAACTGCAAAGAAACCACAAAAAATGACAACTCCAGAGTGTATTTATAAGCTTGTATGGTACTGTATGTAATTATTATCAATTTCCATGAAAAAAGAGAAATCAAAATGAATATAACACATGGGTGAGCATAGATATAGAAATTTCTCTTCGCATGCTCGATTAAATAGCTCACAAGTGAGGGCAGCAAACAAGGGAGATACTGAGTTGAACAGGAGAAGAGAAATTCCATATCTACCACAACTATGTATTATTTTCCTTATTATGACTAGTAAACTTTTACTGACTTTTATTGACTTAATCCATCAGGAGAACTTAAACTCAGAAAACAGAAAAATCAAACAGTTTGGATAAAAGAAAAGATTTTCCCAAATAGTGTGTGACAATAAATAGTTATAAATTTGGAAGAATCTTTGAGTTTTACCCTTGTAAGTTCTTCGATCTTGTTCTCCTTTTCCTGAGATGAAGCAACTCCAGTTGACAAGCAATTCTCCATTTCCTGTAAAATATGGATTATATAATGATAATTTCTGTAGAAAGTTGCAATCCCAAATGAGCATATCATTTGTAAACTAAATATTGCAGGTCAAATTTATCAGAGGATGCAAAATTTAAGCCCATGGTGGGTGGCCTGTAGTGTCAAAACAAAGAAAAACTTCACATGTTTATACTGTCCAGGTCAAAACCAAACCTTGATAATAATAAATTTCTTGAAAAAAATTCTGCCACAGCAAAATCTCTGACAAGTTTAAAATTAGGAACTTGTTACTGTACCTTCAAACTCTCAACAGTCAGGTATGTCTGTAAAAACAAAAGCCAAAAGAAATTCATTTAAAATTCACAGAAATAAACAAAACTGCATACAAAACTTAAATGCTGAGTACAAAAACTGTTATCACCATTAGCAGCTAAGTGGGTGATGTTCTCTTCCAGTTGGCCAAAGTCAGGGTCCACCACACCCATTTTTCACTTTGCTTTTCCCTATAATCAGTTTACTGGTTAATACATAGATAATGAACTTCAAGCTAAAATTTCAATTCCATAATGAAGGCCAAACATGAATCAACTACTCTGCCTTGAAATCACCTGTAAGTGACCTCATGTTTTTGTCTAAGTCTACAATGTAATCTAATCAAGGACTTAAGGCTCAATAAGTATACATTACATAATATTATATTAATGCCATCTTCTTCTCACTTTACTAGTTACCTATCTATTAAACAACAAACTGTACTTTCTATCAGTTTGTCAGTGTAATAACCTATGCAGGATGTTGAGGGAACACAAGGAAAGCTTGTAAATCACGAGCTGGAAGCAAATAATTTACAAACCTTTTCAGTGTTCCTCCAACATCCCAAGTGGTTCATTTCACCAGTAAATGTAAGCAAAAAAATATAATTATGTGAATTGCTCTTTAATACAAGAGAAAAAATCGAGTTTCCAGATGGGATTTGAACCCACAACCCTCCATGATCTAGTCGGATGCTCTAACCACTGAGTTACAGGAGACTCTATGGTGAGCAAGGGTCAATTAGTGGGTATCTATTTTTTCTCTTGTATTAAAAATTGTTTATTTCATCTTTGAATTGCTCTTTGCAGTGCAATTTTTATTTATATTAGATTTCTTAACCTGTGTGGATTCATGAACAAATATCCCAGCTGACTCAATTCCATCTGGTCCCTCAGATCCTGGTTCAGGAAGACATACTTTGACATTCACTGGACATGGTAGAGTAGAACTGCTCTCTGCTTGAAACTGAAAATGCATTATAGGAATTATATTTATATCTGAAGTTAACAGTGCAAACAATGGGATTATTAATTATTTTGAAACATCTCTTCTTCAACAAATCAGTAACAAGATGCTGTGTTCCATTCATAATTGCATAAAAAAGCCCAGTCACTTCTCAACATGCCGTAACAATTTTTTTGGACAGGTAAAGGTTTTCAGAGCAAAATTACACTTTCTCTGTTACCTTTGGCCTTATGAGCTTGTAACTCAAACATAACTTTGGCTACCCCCACCTTATTACTTTTTTTTTGTAAAGTTTCAAAAGATTAGTAAATTGTTTGACAACCACCAAATTAGAAACTCACTCACAGTTCAATATTAAATGATATTACCTACAAAACAAATATTTACCCAATTACATGTACATGTATATACACACTGTACATTGGGTAATAAATGTAATACCTGAGATGTAAATGATGGTAAGAGATTCTGTGGACTTCGTCGAGCTGGGGAACTTTCATTCTGTATTCAGAGGTAAAAAAGTAAAGATCAATTCTGTCTTATACCAACATGGCCCATCGAGCCAGTCAGGAGCTTATCCTCCCTCTTTTTCTGGCATGAAGCATCTAGAAGTATAATTGTTACCACCTTTGATCGGGTGTTAATAATCAAACATTACCCCCCATCCCCACCCCCCCAGCATTATGACTGGTTCTCCTGACAGGTCATGGTTACTTTTTCTCAGCTCTTGAAAATAAGCTATTTTTGATTCTTATTAAAGCCAATTTTTTTCCAAGTAATAAATCCATTATTGACCAAGCTTGTTAGGTGAAGGAACTGTATACTAGTCTTTTTTTTTTTTTTAAGGCATTTTCATGGACCATGACAAACTCAAGGCCCACAAAGATGCGCAAAGAAACTTGGCCGATATCCAGCCATCTTGACCACAGGTTTGGTCAATAACACATAGTACACTGTGCTACACAATGGCCTAGCTGGGTCTCTTACTAGAGCCCTCTTCTGTGTTCATTTAAGCTGGGGTTTTCAAAAGTATTGATATTTATACAGTAAAATTACCACCTAAAAAAACAAAATCGACTTGTTATGGTGCCACAACTTGCTTCTCTATTCTTGAAATTATGATACCATTTTAAAATACGGATTTTTAGGCCTGTTGTGTTACCACTACTTTTGAGAAATGTGCCCCTGGACCCCCCGTATCAACCTAAAGTTCAGTCTGCTGACTGTTAGTCCACAACATCTCTCTCAACATTAAGGATTCACAAGACATAAGTTTCAGATTGCAGATGAAGTATACAACATTGTTTACAGATGAAGAAAGAGATAAACATCTTTAAACCATAAAGATCTCTTCATCTTTTACCTCACAAGGTCTGACTGTTAACCCTTTACAAACCCCCAGAAGTGATTAACATGTAATTTTTCCTTCTAATATCTATACAATATCCAGCAAATGATTAATGAGAATACTCAAACCCATCAGGTAGAAGTTGTTATCTTGATCTAACACCAAATTCTTGTAACTCATTTATAAGGGAAAGTGTAGCAGCTAGAGGGGAGAATTTGAAATTACATCTGGGAGTTAAAGGGTTTACTCTCCCTTCTAGCTGCTAAATAATTATTCAATTTCCTTGTAAAAAAGTATTCAATAAAGATAACAAAATTCTGTCTGATGAATTTGAGTATTTCTCACCACCTGTTTGCTGGATAATGTATGGATATTATAGCGAGAAGTTACACATTAATCACCTCTGAGAGTAAAAAGGTGAATAAGTATACAGAAAATAAGACATTGTCCTCATATACCTTAAAATACTCTGTGATTTTATTTGTTGGTTCTGAGCGTCCACTTTTACTGAGAATACCTGTAAAGCATGTCTCAAATCAATTATCATATTTGACCTTCAACACTTTTAAATAATTATGACAAAGAAATAAAAATGGCCTTTCACATTGTGCCCTGAACTTTCTCCAGACAAACAAACATGTAAAACCAAAGGAAAAGGTTCAGTTTATATTATCAGTTTATATTAAACTAGACTTATCTACAATAAGTCTAGTTTAAAATGATTTCAAACTGGACAAGTGCAATTTGTATCATTCTATCAAACATGTAATGTACCAGGAAAAATAGAAAAAAAAAAAACCTATTTTAACATCATTTCAATCTGGAATGGACTTTTAAACAAGTGTTTTCAAGTTCTTTCTGAAGAACGATTCAAAAAATGGTTGTGCCATACCAGGGGAATCTCCATCCACAGTTGCTTTCCGTTTTCTTCCTGGATGTTTTTCACTTTTCTGGCTTGGTGGAGTGCTCTGTAGAAAAAATGATAATTTTAAAGCAGAGCTCCCCCAACCAACTGTCAGCTGCCTGATGCCATCCTAGAGGCTACCCACAAGCTACATGCACAGAGAAGCTACAAACGGACCAATTTGAAAATACAAAAAAAAGACTGAAATAAACAAATATCTCTGTTCTTAACATAGTATTATTAAAAGAACTTTGCTTTATTAGAGGCAGTGGTACTGGCAGAAATTAGTTGCCATTGTAAAGACACTTCACCACTGAAATGCAGGCTTTCAAACTTAACAAGTCTAGCACTGTAATTAATATACAGTGGAACCTTGATTTAACAAAGTGTCAAGGGCCTGGGGAAATTGTTTCATTATATCAAAGGTTTGTTATATTGAAAACCTTGATTTAATGAATTTTCTGTGATTGCTAATTAACAGCTACCTGTGAAGTTGTTCTATTGTTGCAGAACTAAAGGATTTTGATTGTTGTTGGTCTGTTTCACATCTGTCTTTTGTTATGCATTGACATTTGTTTGTTATATCGGGTATCTGTATATGTTTGGGCTTCGATCTGGATTGTGTTCAATATAACAAGGATTTCATTATATCAAGGTTTGTTATATTGAGGTTGTTTCCCATACATTTTACTGTAACTTTGACAGGGCTGAAAAGTATTGTTTGTTACACCAAGGACGTTGTTATAGAGGTTTGTTAAATCAAGGTTCTACTCTACCGCTACTACAAATATACTCAGGTATTCAAGAAATATTAATAATAAGAATAGAAGAATCAAAATCAACATCTAACACAATTGTTTACTACAAGAAGAATAAATACCAACATCTGACACAATTATTTACTACATGATGAAAGCATCCTTTTGAGGGAACTGCGATTGAAGATTTGCAGAATATGGAGACCAAAAAAATGGGATGATAATAATAATAGTAATAATAATAATATTTAACGAGGGTGCCCAACTTGCCATGGCGGTTTTCAATGGGGCCCTCATGCCATGAATTTTCTTTGACTTGAATTAAAGGGAGGAAGACTTGTGTAGAGTCAGCCTGACTCTCTTGTCCTTAGCATGCCAGGTCCAGTTGCAAGTCAAGATCAAGACAGCTGGAGACAGGCCGGGATGCAGAAGCTGCCCAAAGGTGACCCCACAAGGCAGGTTATCATTCTAATAGTAAAAGGGATAGCTGGGGGATTGCTGACACTTACAAAAGGTGTCACCCTAGAATCCGGTGGGCAGGAGGGTCCATTATCCTGTGATAGGCTGAGATAACAGCCTATCCTTCACCACTGCACTAACACCTTAATGTGATTATATCTATTATAATTCAATCATGAGCACATCACTAAGAGCACAGCATTTAAAAGGACCTCACAGAATGAGAATTGCATCAGATCTTTGCTTCATAAGGACAAAATTCATAGTGTAATGATTGCACCTGAGCCCAGTATATGTTTGCAATGCATAACCTGAACAATATGTAGTTACCTCAAATTCTTTATCGCTTGCTATAGAAGAAATACTGGCATTGCTGTGTTGAGAGTCTTGATTCATACTCTAGGGGATAAATTGGTCAAATAAATTTAATAAATAGATTCCATGTTGTTGCACATCTGTTCAGCAACAGATCACAAATGACATCACAAATGACGCCAAAAATGGGGTACAACCAGAAAAGTGGCTGGCCAATCATGTCTCATGTACTAACTGAGAGATACAAATTATGGGGTACTACTATGGAGTGTTGTCGATAGTGGTAAACGATACTTCCACAACCGAGCATTAGTCATCATCAGAGTTGAGTAAAGAGTTGTTGTCAGTCGAATGTATGCTAACTATATACTTATCACAAGACAACTTGGAGACATCTTCTGTAAATTATTCTCTTCGAAGAGTGAAAGTTCTCGAGCCTCCATATTTTGCTGAATTAGGAAAACAATACCAACGAAAAAATTACCTGAGAGGATTATCCCTAGATATAATACCTGATGTCAATTTTTAAAACGTGGTGTCCACTTACTCGAGGAGTAGAAAATCTTGCTTCCAACAGTTCACGTTTTTGCGGATCTACATGTAAAGCCTCAAGGCGAGAAAACTGAATTTCACCTTCACCGCGTCTCCCTTCACTTGCTGTTGATGCCACTTAAAGGAAGTAAAAATATTGAAAATTTCAAAACATCAGCCAGTGAAGGTCTTCTACGCGAGTTTACGAGTGCATAAGATGTCTCCCTATATATACGTGCGCTTACATGGATGTTTTTGACTCATTTGCGAGGAACTCGAACTCTGTTCTAACTGTAACTGAAATGCAGGGCTAGCGACTCCATTGCCGTGCGGCGCTTCCATAATTCATGCTACTATTCAGTGCACACAGACAAACAAAATTCGTACTGTAATTGTTTCGATTTGTCTGAAGAACTCTAAATTAGGGGTTATGACACTATTTATGCATCTCCCTCGAGGTCGCCGCAATGTGATTGTGGCCTGGCGACCAAGCGCTAAAAGAGAGGGACAAGGCTCAACCACATGACTAGTCTAAATTTTGGCGGGTTGTTAGCGGCAGCCATATTTACTTCTCTACTCCAGCGATCACATAAAGCAAAATGTCATTCTTTGAAACTCTCGAAAAGCTGTTTGGTACCAGAGATTTGTATGAAGTACTGAGGCTAACTAAGTCAGCTTCTGAATCGGAGATAAAGCGAGCTTATCGTAAAAAATCGCTTGAAGTTCATCCTGATAGGGTTCCCGAAGCAGAGAAAGCGAGCGCCACCGAAAAATTCCAACTTTTAAGCAGAGTTTACTCAGTTTTGTCCGACCAAGACAAAAGGGCGTTGTACGATGAAAGTGGGGAAGTTGACGACGATGTTGTTGTCCAAGAACGTGATTGGGATGCCTACTGGAGATTGCTGTTTCAGAAAATCACCATGAAAGATATTACAGAGTTTGAGAAAAATTACAAAGGATCAGAAGAGGAAGTAAACGATCTCAGGTCGGCGTACTTGGACTACGAGGGTGACATGGACACTATCTTGGAAAATGTACTATGCTCCACGATTGGCGATTATGAAAGATTCCGAATAATCATTCAAGATCTAATTTCAAAGGAAGATTTACCAACTTTCCCAGCTTTTGCGAATGAGGATAAAAAGAAGAAGAAATCGCGCAAGCAAAAAGTTAGTGAAAAGTATTGGTCGCTCTTTTTTATCAAATGTAATTAGCCTAGAAAATTTCCACAGCTTCGTAAAGAGAATCATTAGAAATCTTTAATGGGTAGAAAAGTGGAAAGGCCAGCAAAATGTAGTCATTCATATGGTTAGGTAAATTTCAGCAACCATTTGTAAAGAATTTGGCAACAGTTCAAACTCTGTGAGCTGGTTATGCCTTTGGATAGCTAGAGTACTTTGCTGGAAATCCATGCACAGTGTTAAGTGCGGCAACTTTTGTTCATCAGTCTGTAACAAACATGCAAGCTTTCAGTGAACATATTTACCTCCAAACCCCTTTCTCAATCCAATTTTCCTCATCTTCACAAGCAAATCAAAGTTATCACAAATAGAATTGCTTGTTTTGATAAAGCTACAGACATGCAGAAAAACTGATAGTGCAGATAAGGATTTTTTAAATACTCTTTTCACTGATGTAATGGGAGGATCTCATAGATGGGTTGTCTCACTTTTACATTCCCGAAACAGGTTATGGTTTGTCATTGTGGTGAAAAACACTTTCAAAAGAGAAGTATAATTGTTTTTTTCTGTTGTCAGTTTAGATGGATGTTGTTCACAATGCTTTGACCACATACTACTAGTCTTCTTTAGGCCATGAGGAGGATTTTTAGATGTGTCACCTCTAAACTGTTGTGCTCAGCTGTCATTGGGTGGAATTCCAAGGCTGTGATTGGTGCACCTTCTTAAGATTTCCCTCAGGAGTCTGCTGCAACACAGGTCTCCTACTGTTGTGTCTCATGATTCTCGGCATCTAAGCTTCTGGAATTTCTGTTCTACTGTGCCTATTGACGTTGTTAGTGTGAAGACTTTATGTGGATTGCCTCTTCATCCTAGCCTGAGAAAAGCAATCGTCCTTTTGCTCCCTTCGTTTCCCTGCAAAAGAAACGGGGAAATGAAGGGAGGAAAAGGACAGCTGCTTTTCTCAGGCTACTTCATCCTGCATGTGTAGAAATGGGGAATCATGATGAATAAACTTTACTTACTCTAGAGAGGGCTGTATCCGGTGTTGTGGGCAGGCTCTGAAACAACAGCGGTTTCAATTCATTCCTGTTGTGAGGTAAAGCTGCAGGTGGCCATGATTCTTGCAGCCCTTCTTTACCTGAAATTGTGTTCTATTGTTATGTCACATTGTGTTTGCTTAATCTGCTTGTTTCCCAGAGCCCAGTAGTTTGAAAAGCCACCAGTGATAATCAGGGCTCAACACTAACTGAAGCCACCTAGCCACAGACTAGTAGAAATTCAGTTTTTGCTAGTGGTTTTTTATTTCCACCACCCAGCTTGGCTAGGAAACAAGCTAAAATTGTTGTAACATCTAAGATGTCACTAGCCACTTGGCTGGTAAGTTGAAAAGTTAGTGTCGAGCCCTGGTAATCCATGATTAAAAGGTTAAATTTCCTTGAAAAAGCGTATAGTAGAGCTAACAGTTTATGGGTTTTATCTTAACATAAGATGAAACTGAAGGGAAAAATGCAAACAATTAAAACTGTCTGTAATGCTATAAAACTAGATCTAAAATGGTTGGAATTACACTAGTCATCTTGATTGTGCTTCGAACAATATGGCCCAGTTTATTTTTTCTCAGATAATCTGTGGAATGGGTGCCTTAATTTATTATTAATGTTGTGGTACCAACTTCTTAGGCTCTAGAAAACTTAAAAAAGGGCGGGTTTTGAAGGTATCTTTTGTGCAGACTGTAAAGGGGAGGAGCATGGGTGACTGATGGTCAGGGACAGGAGAGGAAAGCAGAATAGTAATAGGCAGATAGTTGACCATTTGTTAACCATTAATCTGCAGTGTTTCACGGTAGAAATGGGATCATGTTTACTGTAGGTACTCTCAACCAATGTATCAGTCGATATATCGGTCAAGAGTTCTTCGATACTCCACTTATATGTTGGTTGTTACTTGGTCAACACTCAATCAATAGTTGGTCAATAGTTGGCTGATACTTGGTCCATAGTCAGTCGATTTATCTGTTGACATTATTGACTATCGACCAAGTCATGACCAAATTTTGGCCAGCTATTGACCAAGTGTCAATCTACTATTGATCGACATATTGGTTGAGTATCGACTCTAACAATATGATCCAAAAAATGGAAGGTGGAATTCAAAGATGTAATGCAATAGAAAAGAGGCTGGAGTCCTCATTCTGTCATCTTCTCCCTTTTTGTTGTTGTTGTTGTTGTTGTCAAGCTTTCAGTTTGCTAAATGCCAAATGTTTTGAAGATTATTATCAATGATCTTAAAGATTTGGTTTGACATATACAGGCTCAGAGGGAAGCAGCTGAAGCAGCGGAGGTGGCTAAAGAGCTTGGCTTAAATGACAAATCAGATGATGGCCTCAAACAGCTGATTATGAAAAGGCAAAAACAGCGGCAAGGGGCAGTGGAGGATATGATAGCTGGACTGGAAGCAAAATACTGCAAACCAAAGAAACCCAAAACGTCTAAAGGAAAGAAGAAATAATTTTTTTTCTTGAATCAAAAACTGTACTTGGATGAAAAACTTATTTCTCCTTATAGGTTGCCTTACACTGCTACAGTAGGGTGCTTATAGGTTGTCTTGCAGTGCTACAGTAGGGTGCTTATAGGTTGTCTTGCAGTGCTACAGTAGGGTGCTTATAGGTTGTCTTGCAGTGCTACAGTAGGGTGCTTATCAGTATCGACATAGTCTGTCGGTATTGCTGTTTGCCTTTCCACGAACTTTACAAGCCTAGTATTTGGAGAGTGAAAAAGTTTATTTATCTTGGTCATAAAATTATCTTTGTTACTCAAATAGAAGAAAAAACGCTTTTTTTCAGCCTCTGAAGTTGAGAAGTAACCTTAAATAGCCCAGTAGCTCCTACGGATTTGTCATAAATCTACAAGCACGCCCAAAGTGCTTCTACAGCTAACGCAAATCATACATAATGAACATACTCCAGTGTAATTAGTAAAACGTTACAAAATACACGAGTTGCTGCTAGTTGAAATGACAGACTACAAGCAGTCCCTGCTTTTCGGAAAAGTCCGGTTGCATAACAGTTGCGAAACATTAAACCTGTTTTGACCTCACAAAATTTGCACAATTTGCAAAATTTGGACTAGCAAATTTTGGTAACTTTGGGAGTTCCCGGATAAAGTTTACCGCCAAAAAATTGTAGGAGTTACTTACTCGCAATATAATAAATGGAAATAAGGCAATGCCATATATGCCATTCTCCTTTTGAATATTCAGGTAACTCCTCGAGCGAAAAATAAACTAAATTTTGCCTTGTCACTAGCCACCACAGCAGTACTCTCTTGACTTATATTGTATATGAATTTCATCCGAGGTTTCGGAAGAATTAAAAGAAAGCTGGAAGGAATAGGAAATAATTCCTATAGGTAAAATTTTTCTCACTGACAACAGAACCCTCATACAGACTAGAAAACATTTTAGAGGGGTTGCGTGGGATTGTTGGCGGTATTTGGACTAGCAAAAGAGTAGTTCTTATTATTTGCGCGCTGAGATAGCTGTGTCTCATGATAGGTTGGTGTAATACAGGCTTTTTCCCCCTGCTCTTACTCTATTCATCTTGTGCTTTGTCTTATGTCTTGCTGGTGCTGTCTAAATGGAAGAAAGGTTCACATACTTTTGGAACGATTTGTGCAAAATCAAACCATTCTGAGAAAGAAAGAAAACGCTTGAGCTCCATGTATCGAAATAATGGAAAAGTTGGGGGCAAACCAAGAAAAGAAGAAGTTTTTTTCAAAAGTGTAGATAGTTTGCATAGTAATTCCCATAATGGCAAGCCGGGCAATGTTGTTCGCAGCGAGGATGAGTAAGAAGAGACTCGGATTTTTTCAAAGTTAAATGCGACATAATTTTGGAGATGGGGAAAAATCAAACTTGGAAAGATTAATTACAGTGTCCGTTTTTGTTTAAGGATCCACTTGTTACTGCGAGGGTGGTGCCCTCAAATGCAAAAGGAGACATCGACTTATCAGTTGTTGAGTCTGTATCGTAGTGTGTG